TTTATTACAACTTTTATTTATTTATGAACTTGGCAAATATTAACCTAGTCTACTGTTTAACAATACTGGAACCATCAGGTAACTTTATCCTCCGTTTTACAAGGGCATGCAGTGATAGGACAAGAGGTCATGGCTTTAAACTGAAAGACGGTAGGTTTAGATTAGGTGTTTGGAAGAAATTCTTCACTCTGAGGGTGGTGAGGCACTGGCACAGGGTGCCCAGAAAAGCTGTGGATGACCCCTCCCTGGCAGTGTTCAAGGCCAGGTTGGATGGGGCTTTGAGCAACCTGCTCTAGTGGAAGGTGTCCCTGCCCATGGCATGGGGGTTGGAACTAGATGATCTGTAAGGTCCCTTCCAACGCAAACCACTCTATGATTCTGTGAGCAGATGGATGCCTTCCCATTTAAAGGCAAGGCTTACTATTATTTTGACATCATTTAGGTAATGAACCATTATTTACATAGGCTGGTTTTGGTTGTCTTGGACTGAGAAGGCGAGAAAATACTACTTCTACCAGGAATGTGAGCAAATCTTCATGAGTTACGTTTTTGGCTAGGTTAAACCTTGCATTAATTGTATGATACACCAGTACCATGCAATTTGTGTTTATCTCACAAGTATTAATTCATAAGTCATCCCTTCTTACTCTTAAAATTTATTTTAGTCTTCTTCAGGTGTTTTCCAGTTAGTGTAAAAATTTTTGAAGAGAGTAATTTTTCTTTTTTTTTTTTTAATTTGAGAAATAAACTGAACTTTATCCTCTATTTTGACAAGTCTTGGTTTGGATTCAGTGCTTAAGAAACAGGAAAAAATATTTATGCATGGTGGATCCTAGAAAGCTTGTGTACGTGATGCATACAACTCTGAAGGTGTTACATCAGTGAGGAAATACCGCAAATCTGAAAAGTTTGTTTCTGGTCACTGTGCATTAGTTAATGATACTCTGATATGATAAGTTGAAAAGTAGGATTCTGTGGTTTCTTCCCAGTAATCTGCTTCTTGCCTGATTTGTTTTTCTTTCGGTTTGGACTTTGTTAACAAGGAACAGGAACTTACACTGAAAGTTTACCTCTGTACTGTGAAATTGGAATTTCAACTTGGACTTGTTTTTGTTTGTTTATGGTCATCTGTAAGAGTCTTAATTTTTTTCTCCCTGTTTAAAATAGATGTGGGGGCTGATGTTCTGGATTTAGCAGAAACAATGGTCGCCTCTGCAGATGGGCTAATCTATGAACCAGTAAGTTGATTCTTACCTTTTTATTTAAAAAGGAAATTGCTCTTTATTTAGTGTGGAGCACTGCTGGGCTGCCTTGCTTGCTTGTATTTTTTTCCTCACAATTGGACTGCACGGAACCTCCCTGAGTGGTGTCTGCTTCTTGAGCGAGGTCTGCAGTGCTTCCCCCAGGAATCTGCTAGGGAAAAAGGCTAGCATCGGAATTTCTGCGTGTTCACTCTCTGCAAATACAGCAGATTTAAATACAGCAGACTCTTAGATCAGTGCTTCTTAACAAGCTAGCAATTTCTACAGCTAGTTATTTTTACATGTGCAAATTCTAGGGATAAATGCTAACAGTATTTGGTATGGAAGGAAAACGATCAGAGCTCTCAAAAAGAGAATTGATGTAACTGCTTTTTAACTAGAAGAATACTATGATTGTAAAAAAGGGGTAGAAAGTCACCATGATATCCTTATAATATGGAATGGCATTAAAGATTGTGAATTGGGTTAGTATCCTTTTAGTTTCTGTATTGTGTACTGAAGACTCTGGAACTGTGTAAGCCAATACTCTTAAAGTAGTTTTGCTTGCATAATGCAATAAGCTTTGAATTAAGTATGGTGTATAAAAGTAATTTATCATTTACATAAAACCTGTTAGAGAATGTAACTTCCTGCTGTAATTATAACATTCTCTAATAACTGAACCGTATTCCAAATTATAACAGTTTTGTCCAAATTCCTACTCGTGTGTGATCAGGAGGAGATGGCCAAATGGAAGAACATACTCAGGGAAGAGGAGGGAGCTTGGTTTTGTTTGCTCTCCTTGGAGCGGTTCCTCGTTTTGTCTGGACAGTCATCTCTGCGCTGCTGTAGCTGCTGAATGCTAGCAGTTGCCCCAGTGATCATAATCTTAGAAAGAGGAAACTGCCCGTACTTAATCTCTTTTTGCCATAGCTCTGGGTAGGTTTGAGCATTAGCTGTCTGGAGTACATCAGTGTTAACAATATATAGATTTGAATTTGGTGCACAGGTGCTACTGGTGATGTTCTTGTGCTGACTGAAGTATAGCCCGTCTGGTAGCTTGTCTTAAAGAAGTGCTACGTGTGGGATGACCCTAGAAATAAACAGACTGCACCCGGACCCTTGTCTTTCAAAGCCTGCTCCTCTGCGTGTTTGATTGTTGTTTGCATGAAACCCACGCATGTCAGTTATATCACTTAGAATTAAATTGCCACTTACTGCTGCTTCTAGCCCATGTTAGTCAAAGGCTAGAAGGGCAGAGGCTGCTGACTCCAGTTACAAGAGCTTTAGGAAATGTGCTGAAGTTCTAAATACGAAGAAGTGAATAATTCTGGGGCGGGGAGGACAGAAATTTCCATACTTGAACACTAAATATATTATTTAAAGTGCAAATTCCTTTCATATGTGGTATCAAGTGTAAAGATTGTAACTCTGCAAGCCTTCCCACACCCCAGTTCTCTTCTAGGTTTCATGAATGGGACTCCAGTGCTTCCTGCGTGTTTTATTAGATGTGTTATTTTTGTTTCAGGTAGTATTTGATCTCAGCCCACAACAAAAAGAATGGCAAAGGTAAGCACTGAGATGCATGCCTATGGTTTGTAATATTTGTACTGGAAGTGATTTTGAGGTACACCAGGGTCACATGACAGAAATATGTCTTGGGTCCAACAGCTTCTGCCTGTAATCTAGGAGTGCAAGCCTATGAAAAGATATTAATTTACTTTGCTTTTCTTGTGATTTGAGATCTCTTATGGAAAAAAATGGCTTTGGACTTATTTGTGGAATTGGGTCATGCAGTTGCAAGCCAAGATGTGTAAACTCACTCAACTTGCATTTCCAAACGAATGCTTGGTAGCATGAGTTTTGATTATGGGTTCAGACGTCTAGCACAGATAGCTTGATATCTTTATGTCAAAGCTGAACCATAGTAACAAATTGGCGTGTTCTTTCAGAAGCAAAGGAGTTTGTCTTTCATGTAACTTAATTGACACACTTTATCATTTAAACTGGATTAGCTTTGTTGTGTATGTGATCGCTATACTGACAGTCTTGTAATAGAATCTGAAGCTTTTTTGGGAGTCTGGCTAGTTTTGGTATTTTGGTGACACACTGCTGTGAACACCAGAGCTTTAAGCTCTGTATAAAAGATCATGCTCAAAGTTTATTGTAACGCTGTAATACTGACATGAATCTTGCTAACTTCTTGATTTATAACCTATAATTGAAGCTGATAATTAGTTGCAAAGTCATTTTTTGTTTTACTGTTGCATGCTTTCACGCTTGTCTGTGTAATCTTTAGAATGCTGCAGCTAATTCAGAGTAGGCTGCAGGAAGAACACTCTCTTCAAGATGTGATATTCAAAAGTGCTTTTAAAGGTGCTTCTACAGCACTGCCACCACGGTAAGAAAAATTGGGATGTTGTGTCGTCATTCCGCTCTCCCCTGCCAGTTTAATTAAATGTCACATTTTACTGTGCTTAAGATTTCCGCCACCCGCAGAAATTAAGGTTTTAAGAACAGAAGACCTTACTGCTTTCTATTGCATTTTAAAGTAGTATACTTGATATTGGCTTTGGAGAGCTGTTGTTTTATGAAAACCTCTGAGAAGGTTTCCAGGTTTTGTGTGTGTGTTTATACGTATATACATATACATAGTACAGAAAATCACATAAATACACACACACCCCTTTTAGTCCATTTTGTCTGATGCTTCCTTTTTGATGTGAATTAGTAATGCCAAAGCAATGCTAAACAACGATCTTTTTTTAAATGAAAGACTATCTTTCTGTCCAGCAACTTTTAAAAAAAGTTCTGTTGTTAGCTATGATTTACTTTATAGTTTTAAAAGAATCAATCTTTGAATAAAAATGTGTTTTGTCAGTAAACGTCTAAGATAGAATTGTTAAAATTGTGTGGAGAAACCCTGCGGTTTACACTTTATTCCAGCTACCCACAAAATGCTGAGAGACTAATGCATAGCAGGCTTGGTCTGCCTGAATCTAGATGCTATGTGATTTCCTCCCCCCCGCCCCTTGAAAACGCTTTCTGCATGAAAGCTGAAAGTCCTTTCCCCTTAAAAACAAACAAACAAACAAACAGCCCACAGAAGCAAGCCATAAATAAAACAAAACAAACGCCAAAGCCACTGTATGCACTTTCCATGTTGTAATCTCCTTTTTTGAGGACTAAATACATCCTTTCTTCGTAAGGCAAGGCTAAAGAGGGCTCAAAGAATCTTTTTTCTCATTTGGTAGATGTCTTCAGGTTCATTAAGTCCTTCTTTGCCTCTATGAAACTCGTGAGTGCAGTATTTAAGATGTGTTTAAAAACACTTTTTTTTAATCTCCCTCCAAGGACCAGATTTGGAAATACGTTCTGAGTTGTGGGCATCCCAATAAGTGTGGGAAGAGGAAGGCTTCATAAAAAATAAATGTTGAAAGCTGTTCTTGCTACAGTGTTGTTAACATGACGATTATATTTTGTTATGTTCGTTGTAGCATTAAAACTTTCCCAACAAAGCATTTTTGTTAGAAGTAATTGGAAAAAAATATTCCCAGGGCAGCAAGTTATACTTGGTCTTATGTTTTCTGTTCACATGTTCAGGTATCATAAGTCAGCTTTGTATCTGAATACAAATATGAGCAAAATCTTATTGGTTTCATCAGACTGACCTTTATTAGATTCCTTCCCTTCCACCATCCCTGCTATAATTCCAGAAGAATACAATAGAGAGAGGTAGATGATAATGCTGTATCTTTATGCTAGGAAACAGAAATCTAACTGTACTCTGTTATTTCTGTCAGTGAATATTCTTAAGTACTCTTTGTGTTGTTTTTCTTTAAACAGGGAAGATAATTCATTACAGTCTCCAGATGCATGCAGAATTCATGGTCATCTCTATGTCAATAAAGTGGCAGGGAACTTTCACATAACTGTGGGCAAGTATGTTCTGTTCAGTTCCTGGAAAAAAAAACCAAAAAGGCAGCATTGATTTCTACATTGTATATAGTACATGACTGAATATGTGTGTGTATGCTTTTACACTTTTGAATTAATGACTGGTTTTTATTAAACTTCCCATACACATGCTTGGTATTATTTTTCATGTTGTATCTTTTCTTGCACAGTTAAAAACAAATTTCTTCATAAGTTACTAAATCAATGCAGTGCGGTGCATTGTTGCATGCAGTGTAGTGGTTATGAATTCCAGTGTCTTACAGGATGAGGACTCTTGAAAATAGGTCCTCCGTAAGTGTGTGAGGTGGAGTGGACTGCTTGTACTTGCCTACATTCTTTGGGCCTGTCCAGGCTTCTCCTTTTTGTTAGTACGCAGGTCACTAACATGGATGAAGTGTAGATACGCGCCGTTTCAGTGCTGGGATAACGTAGTTACAGAATCAGAGTTAGGGAGCTAAGTGCCAGTTCATCTTGATTTGAGGTGAGACTTTCTGATACACTTCAGCAATGATATTAGCTTACATACACTGTATACAAACTGTTGTTAACTTTTTTCTCTGTGCTCTCCAGCTCTGCTGTCCTCACTTTGTCTATCTGCCACCTCTGTCACCAGAGATCTTAGCATGCGATCTGTACACTCTGATTTATCCACATGTAACTCCAGCTGCTGTCTTTGTGTGGTTATTTCTCCAAATGTCACTTCTGTCTGGTCTTGTACCATATCTCTGATTTGCCCCAAGATGTCCAACTTTTTAAGTCCTTTTCAGAGCTGATTATTTCAGCCTTTCATCTGTACTGCCATCACTTCTCTTCCTGTCTCTAGTTGTGCAGCTGTGAATAATCTTTTGCTTTCCTTTGCTTCCTTTTGTTCTTCATGACATTTGTACTTCTGCTAAGTTGCTCTTTCTCTTGTGGTAAGGTTTTTTTTTTTATGGCTTTTCTCACTGGGCCCCTTCGTAATTTATTGCCTGGTTATTTATTGCAGTCCTGTCTTGACTGATCTCATTGTCTTTCTCCACCTTCTGTTCTTCCAAAACTTACATGCATTTGGTAAAAATTTGACTTAAGCTAAGTAAGGAAAGTCTCCTGCGTTATTGGCTGGACTGAGAGGAACGAAGTGTAGCTGAGAGACTGCTTTGCTTTCCAGACAGAGTTGTGCTTTCCTCCTTCCCCTTCACACTGTTACCAGCCTCTGCATTATGCTATCTTTGCAGGTCTGCAAGCAAGTGTCCAGGCCTGGAGTTAACTTGCTTAGTCAGGGAGCAAATACAGAGCATAGTTAACTTGCTTAGTCATAGAACAAGTACCGTGAAGTTTTCATCAGTCACTTGAGCAGTTCTGCAGCTTTTCATGTGGTTGGCCTTGGTGGCTCTTCTGGTAGCCTGGTGACTTGATGTGTTTTTCACATTTCTAAAAATGCAAGACACTAATTTTGTGCAAGAGGATTTTCTTGAGTCTCATGTTCCTGTACCTTGCCATTCAGGCTGTCTGTACTCAGCAGTAATAAAAATGTCATTTAAAAAAAAAAATAGATACACACAATTTTTATAGATATATAAAAGTTTGTAATATGTATATATAATATATATTTAAACATATGTGTTATATATGCACATATTTTTATATATATATAAAGTATTTATTCAAATAGAGGGGGAGAGGTAATTTTTCTACATGGTCATGTTTAGGAAAACTGTGTCTTTTGTGTGGATTCATTAAACAAATTTTTCATAAAATGTCTTGCTTTCTTTAGGGCAATACCACACCCTCGAGGCCATGCACACTTGGCAGCCCTTGTAAGCCACGAATGTAAGTTCTTCCTATGATCTCCATATGAACGAGTAAAATTTCTTTCAGACTGCTGTCTCCTGATCCTTATGTTAACATAGGTTGCTGTTGTAAAGCTGTTCTAGCTGGGCAATTGCATTGTAGAGGAAAGTAAAGAATATTCTTTGCAATGTTACAACTCAGTAGCGACTTACTTTCATACATTTCATTAATCAAAAGCAGCATGGCCAGCAGGTCGAGGGAGGGGATTCTGCCCCTCTGCTCCGCTCTGGTGAGACCCCACCTGTAGTCCTGCAGCCAGCTCTGGAGCCCTCAGCACAGGAGAGACGTGGACCTGTTGGAGCAGGGCCAGAAGAGGGCCACAAAAATGGTCAGAGGGCTGGGACATCTCTGCTAGGAGGAAAGGCTGAGAGAGCTGGGGCTGTTCAGCCTGGAGAAGAGAAGGCTCTAGGGAGACCATGTTGTGGTCTTCCAGTACGTAAAGGGGGCCTATAGGAAAGAGGGGGACAGGCTTTTTAGCAGGGCCTGTAGCGACAGGGTAACGGTTTTAAACTGAAGGAGTATGGATTGAGACTGGATATAAAGAAGAAATTTTTTACGCTAAGGGTGGTGAAACACTGGCACAGGTTGCCCAGAGAGGTGGGAGATGTCCCATCCCTGGAAACATTGAAGGCCAGGTTGGATGGGGCTCTGAGCAACCTGATCTGGTTGAAGATGTCGCTGCTCACTGCAGGGAAGTTGGACTAGATGACTGCTAAAGGTCCCTTCCAACCCAAACTGTTCTATGATTTAACACAATTAGTGTTATCTTTAGGTTGCTTCTACAGTAATGATAACACAGGAATCTCAGATGTATTTAGCTGTAACACAGATAGCATATGAAATTCCTGTGTTTCAGTCCAAACTACCTGTTGCTTGCAAAAACTGTTTTTATAAGGTTAAAAATTTCTGACCTTTGTACATGGAAGCTTCATTTTTAAGTTATGAGTCTGGATACTAAATGTGTGTTGCTGCCATACTTAATGTGTGGCAAGAGTGAGTTACTGTGAAAAATGAACTTGGTGTTGGTTAATCTACTCCGAATGTCTGCACATAAATTTGTGTCAGCACAAGCATGTAATATTGCAGAGCTTAAATACTTTTGCCAAATCAGGCAGTGTAGTAACTTGGGAGTTGCCTTATGCTTCCTCTGTACATTTCGTCTGTGAAATTTTAGTCTTTTTAATACCATTACATACAAGAACTTGAACTGTAGGATAACTTCAGTATTCAGTGAGCTAGAAATTTCCTGTCGTGAAATTTTAACTCTCTTGAACTCCCAAGTATGATTCAGATAGAGTTGTAATTTGTTTTATAATTTATTTTCCAGAGAAATTTTAATTTCTTTGTTAACTATTTTGGATTTGAGTTTTGTTTGAAACATGTACGCACATGTATTGCTATAGAGACAGGCACAAATCCAATGAAATGCACACCAGCATTTGAAATATTCTAACCAATGCATTTTCCAACATGAGAAATGGGTGCATCTTTTTCTCCAAGAAGAGTACAGAATCCCGTAGTTTAAAAATGTTGTTTCATTCCTCTGTATTGTCTTTCAGCCTACAACTTCTCTCATAGAATAGATCATTTGTCATTTGGAGAGCTTATTCCAGGAATTATTAATCCTTTGGATGGAACGGAAAAAATAGCATCAGATCGTAAGTGTTGTGTGTTTAAAAAAGCATCTTGTTTTCTATATTTTTTCCAATAATTACATTTAAAATATTATCACGTTCCATGAATGTTGTGATTTACAAACAACATGTCCCACTCAGTTTGGTAGCAAGCAGTGCACTGTTCAGTTATCTACATGGCATCTTCAGTGGATAATTTCTTTTTAATAGCAGTATTGCTGTACTTTGCTGTTTCACTGAAGCTAATTTGCAGTTTCTTCCAGATTTGTGTTAAGTTGAAGTTACAGTATGTCTGAACATATTGCAAAGAATTTTGCAGTGGTATGCTACGGTGGAGATTCACAGATCTGATTGTTGTTGTAACAGGCAAAAATAAGCCTGATTTGGTCTTAAAAAGAATAGCATCAGGAGTCTTGGATTCTACTCCTGTATTTGATTTGTCACTTCCATGGTGTATTTTGTGAGGCTACTACAGGAAGGGTTTGTGTATCACTTTGTTTCCGTATGTATAAATAAAGGAGTATAGTAACCTGCTTTACAGAGCTACCCATGCCTTATCCCCTGACTTGCGTTCCCCATGAGAGCGATCCCAGAACCTTCTAACGCTGCGGTTGTCTCCAAGTCAGTCAGTCCATTGGCTGTTCCAGCCAGAATGGTTTAGGGTTGTTGGAACAAATTGCTTCAGTCTGTCAGTGTTTGTTCTCTTAGGGAATTGCACGAAGACAGAGCAATCGTAAATGCATAAGCATGCTGATTGCTCTAGAATAATTCTCCAAAGGTCTGTCTAATCAGGAAAAAGACTGTGACCAGTTTAGAAGGGCTTCCAGCATTGTACACTCAATTCAGTGGCTGAAGTCTGTTCAAACCACTGCTGAGATGTATGCATCGTGCAAAATGTGACTGTGTGAAACTTACTCAGTTCTGGTATTCTGGAAAACGCTGTGTGTGCTGTTCATTTGAAGCTTTGAGTGGCTTGACCTTAATGAATCTTTTCAGTGCGTGGGTAAAATGTAAATTTCTCTGGGTACGAATGTGACATGGGCCTTGCCCATGGAAACTAACTTTGTTCGTGCAGATGGTTCTGAAGTAGTCTTGGCATTGCTGGGACTCCTTGAAGAATGTCCCTATTGTAAATTGCTTAGCTGGTTAACTATTTTAAATATTATTTTTTTTATTTATTTGTGAATTTCTCAAATGGTATTTGACTCTGTACTTAGTTCAAGTGAGATTTGTTTTCTTCTAGACAACCAGATGTTCCAATATTTTATCACAGTTGTGCCAACCAAACTCCATACATACAAAATTTCAGCAGAAACTCATCAATTTTCAGTGACAGAAAGGGTAAGTAGAAGTAAGAGAAAACCATGCAGAGAAAAATCTAACAGTGATTGTTCCTAACAGAAGCTTAAATGTGAAACCGGGGACTTAGTTGTACTGTGGTTTTGAAAACTCATCTAGTGTGAAGAGACTCATTGTAGAAAGTTCCAGTGCACTAGATTGAACTGTAAATATTGTAACACTGATGGTAAAATGTGTATGCTTGGTGACACATGCTGACTTCTTGCAGTAGTGTTTTGCATCTGTTGATCTGGAGTCTGATACTAGAATTAATGACAGATACCCAGTTGTTTCCACTTAGCTCTATGCTAATAGTGGGGATGAGATCTTGTAATTTTGTTTTTTTTTTTTTTCCTCATGTGTGGCTTTACAGGTATTTAATCCACATTTTGGCTTTTTATCCATGTGGGAAGCAAACCAAAAAACGCAGCTCACTTGAATGTCATGAGCTTGATTGTGGAGTGTTAGAAATGGAAACAAAGGTAGTTTGTATGAAAAGCTGATCACACAGAAAGCATTTCTGTCTCTCAGCTGTCCTGTTTAACCTTTGTTGAACCACCAACTTTAATTATTCTCTAGACTAGAGAGCTTTTACTTCTGGACTTGGACAGGCTTTTAATTCTGAACCATAAAGTAGTTATTGCAGCATAGTACATGGGTAAATCGTAAGGTACTAATTTTTAAGACTGCTGTAAATAAGAAAAAGGCCTAATGTATACTAGTTACATGTCTCATTTCCAGACACTGAACTCTGTTTTGATCTTTTATTCAAAAAACAAAGAAAAAAATTGGTGAAAATATTGATTAAAAACGACAGATAAAGCAAGAGGTAAGAAGGAAACCTTTGATTGAAAGGAAATTCAGAGACTGGATGGATGGCAGTTCACTCTAATACAGTTTGTGATGTTCTCCAAGGGAGAAAAATCTTTACCTCCTCACAATTCCATGCTGTGTTTCTGAAAAATACGTGGCTAGGGGAGTAGGAGAGAGCTCTTGGTGTTTGACGTGGGACATACTGACCGCTGAAGGGACAGGTTCACTCTAAAACTCATGAAAGCTGGAGTAAAGAGATGAGTGAAGAAGAATTTCGTAATGCAATATAATCCCATTTCCTCCTGGTCTAGCAATCTACTTCATGTTTTGTCTGCACAATCTCTGAAACAGCTAAGGCACTCCTTAAACTTCTGGACACCAGTCAACTGCTTATCTTACTCATTACATTTTTTTCGTTTTGTGTTTAATTTCTCCTTCTGCTGTAAAGATGGTTTCTGTCAATTAACTGTTCAGTCTTAGTTAGCTCTTTAATTCTTTTGTGGGGATGTATTTTTTTATGACAGTTGCAGCACAGTCACAGGTTGCTTAGGAGAAAAGCTTGCCTGCAGTGGAGGTAGAGTGGCGTTACATACCTGCTTTCGCTATCTCAGTGGGTAGTTCTGTTGTCTGTAAAGCTTGTTCATGTTTATCTTTGGAAACCAAATACCCCTAGCAGATGAGCTGGGAAAAGCTATTAAGAACAGTTAACATTAAACAACATGGTGCGTTTATTTTATAAGAGTAGGCACGTATGCAGACCTGGAAAAAGGCGGTCAGCTGGCCGTGGCTAAAACTTGAATGCAGTGAGGTTTAGTTGCCAGTGGTGAGCAAACTGGGAAGTGGAGTTTGAAAGGTGTGGGCGGAATCATCTCCACTGTTGCTGATGTTTGAGATACTGTGTTTATCTACGTCAAAAAGATTTAATCCTAGCAGGGCTTCGCTGACATCTGAGATGTCTGATACAGGGTGATTGTTTTCAGCAGCCTTTAGCAACCAACAGTTCAATCAGCTGCAGTAGCAGAAGCTAGAAGCAGACCGAAATGGTCTGTGGAAAAAGTTATGTATCTTTTGAGGGTGGGGTTTGGGGTGTTCTGTTTAACTTTGTATTCTTTTTCCACCCTTTGACCTCAAAAGGCCAGAAAGGTTTAGGGAAACAATAGAGGAAAGACAAACAAAAAAAATCACCTTTTGTCCTGAGGCAGTGGCAAGGTTCTGTTGAACTACCTTCAGTCTCCATATGCCTGATCATCCATCTTCTAATGCTGAATGTTGTCATGCTCTTGAAATACAGAAAACATTCTGGTTTTGTTTTTGTTTTTTTTTTTTTAAACAATTGCAAAGTTTTTGTGACCTGGTATCATAACTGATATGTTATTTTGGCATCCTTTTTACTTTGGTTTGGTATCAAAAGCAGCAATGTGTTTTATGTCAGCTTTAGCTGACTGGACAAGTTGCCTAGTTTGTATTTTCCAAAGTGGTAATCTGCTTTTGCTTTTGTACTGTATTCTGCATGTTTTTTGAGCACAGACTGTCAAATCTACAGCTGAAACGGAGCTGCAATATATTGCTTTTCTATTCAGTCTTGCTTGTCTGTCTTCTCTACTCTTACTAGCCTGGACGTGGCTGAGTTTGTCTTCAGTCAGTCAAGTTCTTTTCTGCTGCCCATGTATATTTTCAGCCAGACTTATCTGGCAGTGCATTTATCAGCACCTTTCAACAACAGCAAAATGATAGCAAACTTTTGAAAGAAACTTAGGATTGTGTTGATGTGGTTTTTCTCCTGAAACCTTTTTTAAAAACTAGAGATTTATACCAGCTACATTGTCCTCTTTGGGGTCTTTTGGTTTAAGAATTTGGGCAGATGAGAAGAAACTGTAGAAGTTCTTGGGTTAGAACTAAGGACTCTGATCTAGTTAGAGTAGTGATGGTCAGTTATTATTTTTATTTAGGTGTATTTCTTGCTGTGTGACTGTTGTCTGAAATGACCTGACTGACAAAAATTTTAGAAAGAGGCTTGATACTGGCACTCAGTTTTCAGACCTCACAATTTTTGAAACTCAGGAATGTGATTTTTTGGTTTGGTTTTTTTTGTTTGTTTTTTTAAATCAGAGTTAATGGATTATAGCATATGTGTAAGTATGAACTGAGAAAAAAAATAGCATTGATCCAATTTAACTTAAGCTTCTGAATTTCCATTCTGGTGTACTCTAGTTTAGGGTCTTCCCTGATACTTTTAAGAACCAGCAATTAAATCCTTTGTGACACGTGAATCTAGAGATAAGCTCCAAGGAGGAAAGAGGATGAAGTGTAATGAGTCTTAAAGGCAGTGTGTAGATTTATATATGCCCTCTGGGAAAACTGCCATAGCTAAAGTTGTTCAGCAACTTAAATGTCTCCAGAAGGTCTCATCCTCATTTAAGTGATGAATACTAGTGCGTGAAGTAGGAAGAGTTGGGGCACTGTATCATACCAGTGCACTCATTTGAGTTCACAGGTTAGTCCAAGGCTGTGATGCTTCGCTCATAGGTACCAAAAGCAACCTAGTTATAAACATCCTTGTTTAGAGGACCGTGTAAGCAAACCTTCAGAGGATAGTGCCGGAGCATGATAGTGGGCGCTGATAGGCAGCACAGAAGACCAGTGACCAGGAAAATAAGTTGTTATTTTATGATGCTTGACTTTTAGAAGGTACTGTCCAAAGTTCTCTTGATGTTCCTCTGTTGATTGCTGACTCTGATTAAGTATCTCTTTGTCGTCACATCTATTAAGATTGTTTCCTGGTGACTAGCTTGTGTTTCTGTCTTTCAGGAAAGAGTAATTAACCATGCAGCTGGCAGCCATGGGGTGTCAGGAATATTCATGAAATACGACATCAGCTCACTTATGGTGACGGTGACAGAAGAACACATGCCTTTTTGGCAGTTCTTAGTCAGGCTCTGTGGCATTATTGGGGGAATTTTTTCAACTACAGGTAACTGTCAGTGGTTCCCCTCTATCCTATTAGAATTTTTTGGTCACCATGACTATGTTACAGATGAATTACAGGGGAGTCCTGAACCTCCAGCAGGTTTAAGAGAAACTGCTCGTTGGTGTGCACTGAAATGTGCAATGAAAGATGCTAATTTTTTGTGTCCCAGTATGGCATTTCTGCTGTTCTGAGGGCCTGATGTTTCGTTTTTGGTAACTGTAGCTTAGTTTGTTTACTTCTGGAAGAGCAAGGAGATAGGTATGTGCACACACAGAGGCACACTTCTGTTGTTCAGTGTATTTCCTATAGTTGGGATCCAGTGCTAAATCGGTGCCAAAAGTTGAGATAAAATTTCCATCTGAAGTAATTGGGAGGATTTTCCTTGTGTACCTTGTCAACGTACTGCAGGATTTTCTCCTTCAAAGAAAAGAAGTTGAAAAGGCACAATTCATTTATTAGTCAAGACGTGGTAGGGTATCTTGTTTAGAAGTTATTTCTTTTCTTGGCTTTCACTTGAAGAGAGCGTAGTAAAGAGACCTTGAACTGAGAGCTCTCTTTCAGAGTAGATATTTCTGTCCCACAGAATGTATTTTCACCCATGAAAGCTGTGCAGAGGGAATTACATTTGCTTGGATAGCTTTGGTTTTGCTTTTATTGATGCTTTTCAGAATGTTAGTATTTCCTCCACCCTTGATGTTTCTTTTTTTATGTTAATTTCTCAGTGGTTTACATACCAGTTTACTGCACTGTATCCTCTCAAGTATTGTGTAGAGTTTTGTTGTAATACTTCTGTAAACACTACAGTTTTAAATTTGAAATCTTGTTTGACATTGCAGGTATTTTACATGGCTTTGGAAAATTTGTAGCAGAAGTTATTTTTTGCCGTTTCAGACTGGGCTCTTACAAATCCACATCGGTAAGTATTAAATGAGTGGTTACAGCTACTTGAGGATAGGTGATAAGGACAACTATGGGACTTAGTCCCAGCAGAAGTGAAGGTATTAGCAATAAACCCACCCCTTGACATGCACGTGAGCAGAGACTCGACAGCTTTTCAAAATAGTTGGAAAACCTAACACATAAGGAAGCAAGGTGTTTTATAAGAAGCTGAATTAATGAAACCGAGTCTCTTGGAGATTTCTCTCCTACATTCCCTCCATCGTCCTTACTATATTCTTTTTATTTTCATATTGTTACAAAAATTACATGTTTTCCCCGGCTTGTCAGTCTCCCTCACATACACTCTCTTTCTGCTTGGCCTGCTGATGGAAGAAGAGGTGTTGCATGCTGCAGGGCTTCAATGTTGCTGCTGATCGGCCAAGCAGTGTGAAAGAGCTGAGCAGTCTTAACCTTTCTCTTCACTGGGCTCCTCCAGCAGCTACTTGATTTTTATTTTTGTTTTGTTTTTTCCTGTTTAAGCCTGTGGGTAGCCTCTAAGACTTCTGCCTGTCTCTTAAATGTGGTTGAAGTTTGCCAGCTGGCAAGGCTGTGTGAGTCGGGGGAGAGGAGGAAAGGCAAGCAGATTTGTAGAAGTTTCGTTTGTGAGACCAGGCAAAAGGCATACAAGAAATGCCCAAGAATAAAGAAATGTGTGTTGGGGGAGGATTCTGTTTCTGGACAAGCCTTTAATAACACTTTGGTTTTGTTTGACTAGGTCCCACTTCCTGATGGCCACACAAGCAACCACTTACCTCTAATTACAGACAATAGTACGCATTAGCCTCCTGAGAAACTTTCTTTCTTCCTGCCTGATACAGAAGACTTTTTTTATAATAAAGAAAACGGTGTGCAATATGCTGACACAGTGCTGACAGGCAGCAAAAACTGGAGCCTTTACAAAAAAAAACCCACAGAAACAACGAAACAATTTGTCTAATTTGTTGTCTTTCTGTGTGCACGTGGGAGGTTGTGAGACCAGTGAGGTGGACCATCTTCTGGAGATTAAAGGAGCGTTGCTGCCAATACAGTATTCGTGGTGGAGCTGAACGTCTTTGTGATGACTGCCATTGATCACTGAAGCATCTTGGTGATCTTGGTTCTGTGCCTGGGGCAGCCAGCAGACTCCAAGGGAGAAGAGTACGAGTGGGGTGGGTGAAAGGGCTGGCAGCGGGCAAAGAGGGACAGTGACAGAGCTGGGGTTTCTCGGAGGGGTGCAGACTGGGCTTTGGGTTTTCTTGTTCTTTTGTAATGGTGGGGCCGAGGGCTAAGATGCAATTCTTATGGGTGGGGCGCGGTCCTAGAAAATCCAGAAGAATTTGGAGATGAGGGAGAACTCAGGGAGTAAGGTGGAGCCCAAGCCATAACGCTGGTCATAGCCGCTGCCTTTCTGCTGTCCTGCCATTCCTTAGTGGAAGAGACATAATGTGGAGGGATGCTGTTTTCACACAGCCACTTCGCCAGCAGTGAGAATATCGCTTCTGGTGTTGATGTGGAAGTGCACAAGGGCTCGGTGTGGGCTCCGGTGTGCACGTGGTTTTGACTTGGAATAAGAAACCTTTTAAATAAGGCATTTGACTGTAGTTTTGATAAAAGGCAAGACTCCCTAGCGAAAGGTCAGGAAATCTCTGTACACCTCTCTCTTGGTAAAGGAATTGCTTTGATGCAACCTTCGTTGTAGCCCTGCTGCTAGTATGTGAGCCATGGTATGTAAATCCTGGAGGTGGGGAAGAAAGAGAGCAAGAAGCGGCTGTGCTTTGGTGCAGCTAAATACTGCAGAAATGTGGAACTGGGGACAGCTGGGGGGTCTGCTGGCCTGCGCAGGGAGCGGTGGAGTTGGTCTCCAGGGGGTAGGTGACTTCAGGGAACCTGAATCATTTTGCTGCAGACAGATGATGAGAAGGGATCTGCAGAATTAATCCTTATTGTTCGTGAAGTTTTTTTTAAAATAAATGAAGAGAGCAATATCAGTTTTATATTGTAAATATGCTACTGAGAATGAATGTTATTAATGCAGGTGGTGCTTTGAGAAACTAGACATCCTCTTACTGCTGAGCTACTGGCATACGCCTGTGGTTAAATGCTTCTCTGCCAGAGTGAAAAAATAATATGATTCCTTCTCAGCAAAACTGATTTAATAATATATTAGGAGATGATGCTGACCCTGGCCTTACTCACCGTGGAATGAATATTATAGCCGAGAAGACTAACTATGGAGAAATAGAAATACCTGTGGCATTGTCAGATTTTGCTGACTTCTGTTAATGTACTTTACAGGACACTTGGGTCTTGGTGGTGAGCACAGTGTAAATAGAGCTGATTTGCTATGCAAAGCAAAGGGCTTCCTAAACTGAGAAATTGCATGAAATAGTAAATAAAATGTGGGAATTGAGGGAAGAATTTTGTTCATTTCGACTGTTAAGAAAGACAGAAGTTCAAGAAAGCCAGGTCCTTGAGGCTGACAGCCAGGTTTGGGGTGGTCTCCTTTGTGTTTCTTTTAACACTGATTAAAACTACAGCAACTGAAGAAATTCTTGTCCTTGGTGAGAAAGAAAAGCAAAAGCTGTAAATTTTTGGTTCCCACTTCTCTTTGGCGTTTGCCTCTGAGGTTTCTTCTCTGCTTCTGCTCAGACTGGTTCTCCTTTGGGCTCTGCCCTGACGCTTGTTTCTTCTCTGCCTGGAACAGACTCTACTGGAGGGAGACACTGATCTCAGTTGACTTTCTGTACCAGAACTTAAAGGTTATTTTCTATTCTCACATAAAAGAGCCAGGCGGCTTGGTGTGTCTTAAACCCTTGTGTGGCGTATTCATGTTGTTCTGTCTAGAACAAAGCTCATGTGACAGCTGGTTGCTAACAGAAGAAGATTTGGGATTGGCTTCCAGATGTGACATGCTGCGTTGCGAAGTGAATATGGGACCAGGCGATCCAGTGTTGTGCGCTTTCTCTCCGCAGCGGGTTTGGGTGGTGCAGCTGGTACCCCTTACCCTTGTACCACACATTAGCCTTGGCTTACCCAGCATGTGTGAGGGAGTTCCAGAGAAAATGGTAGTTTACTGTAGTTGCTTTGTTTTTTGGTCACGTTTATTTACGCTGTGGGCAAAAAGTGAGTATAGTATGGACAAATGAAGGGAATGGGTGTCCCGAGGGGAATACCCTGGTGTTGATGTGATGCATATTTCCTGAAAGGAGGGTAGTAGATGAAAAATACTATTTTCTGTGTAAGGAAAGATGGTTGAAATTATGTATTTTTATCTTTGGTTCTTACACATGTTGGAGGGAACACAGGGGAAGAAATTTCTACCCTTCATACGGTGCGTTCATGGCACACCACTTGCAGAGTACCCCGGCTCAGCTGTCTTTCTGGCCAAAAAGTCTTCCCCGTTCCAGCTGGCACGGTGTGGGATTTGCTCCGCTGCTGCCGTGCTATTGCGGGGCGTAGGCCATGTTGGCAGGAGCACAGCCGGCTTGGCTCCCGTTGAGACCTGGAGCCCTGTGCCTGGATGTGACTGTCCCCTGGATCCCTCAAGTTGCACTCCAGCAGCGCAGAAAGCCCGTGCCAGCCCCAGGAGGTGGGGAGGGGGTAGGAGTGGGGATTTCTCAGTGACCCTGTTGTTTTTAGTGCTCACAAAGAAACACCGAGCTGAGTTTTTCACAGGACAGGGCACCTCCAGCCCTGTCGCCTGCGAGCCAGAATCACACAGCGTTGTCAAGAAGCTGCTGTAAAATCCCCAAGTTAACACACTTCTCTGTTGTGTTTCTGGAAGTATTTTGCAAAAGATTTCCAAGTAGAGAAAGAAAAAGGTTGACGGTTGGACTTGATGATCTTGGAGGTCTTTTCCAACCTTGATGATTGGAGAGCCATGGATTTGATGGGTGGACCGTTCGGTGGATAAGGAATTGGATGGTCGCAGCCAAAGGGTAGTGGTCAACGGCTCAGTGTCCAGATGGAGACCAGTGACGAGTGGAGTCCCTCAGGGGTCCGTACTGGGACCGATGCTGTTCAATATATTTATCAATGACATGGACAGCGACATTGAGTGTACCCTCAGCAAGTTTGCAGATGACGCCAAGCTGAGTGGTACGGTTGAGACACCAGAAGGATGAGATGCCATTCAGAGGGACCTGGACAAGCTGGAGAGGTGGGCCTGTGCGAACCTCATGAGGTTCAACAAGGCCAAGTGCAAGGTCCTACACCTGGGTCGGGGTAATCCCCGCTATCAGTACAGGCTGGGGGATGAAAGGATCGAGAGCAGC